AATTTAAAAAAAATTCAAATGTTTGTTAAAATGTATAAAGGACTAAGGTAATAATACTTGCTTCCCGTTGAAATGTCATTGTTAAAAAAAAAAAAATTAGTGTTTCTACTGATTTCAAACCTGTGTTTAATTTCTGGTGATCCCTAAATCTCAACTCCAAAAACTCATTATTTCTTCTGGAAGCCTTTAATGCAATCAAGTTTCTCTGCTGTCTTCTTAGGAATATGCAACTGTGCTTTTTGTGCCATGTCATTTATATTTTCTCTACTTGACTGTAAGCTCAAGGAGGGCAGGGACTGTGCTTTTGCTCATCATTGTTCCCCAGTGTCAAAGACAGGGTTTGGCCTATACTGGAAGCTTAGTAAATATTTACTGATTTCTGCAGAATTCGTATCTCTGATTTTGCACATACTGGCTATATGATCTTGGACTAGACACTTATCCAAGTTCTGTTTCCTACTGTGTAAACTGGGCATAACAATACTTACCTTACAGGGTATCTAAGTTCACTCTTGTCAAATATGACTTCCTGGACTCCCTTCTCCTTGTCTTGTACCTCCTCTATGTCCCACTTGGGCCAAGTATAGCCTGAACCCTTAGAACTTAAAACTGGGCAGGGCTTCCCTGGTGGTGCAGTGGTTGAGAGTCTGCCTGCCAATGCAGGGGACACGGGTTCGTGCCCCGGTCTGTGAAGATCCCACATGCCGCGGAGCGGCTGGGCCCGTGAGCCATGGTCGCTGAGCCTGCGCGTCTGGAGCCTGTGCTCCACAACGGGAGAGGCCACAGCAGTGAGAGGCCCGCGTACCACAAAAAAAAACAAACCAAAAAACAACAAAAAAAAACTGGGCAGAACCCTAAGACCTAATACAATCTTCTAAGTTTGGAATGTCATGGACACCTAAGGAATTAATGCACAGGATTCAATAAATACTAGGTATTATTACCACTATAATTAATACATGTTTCACTGTCCAACAGAAGAAATAAGGCAGATACCAAACTACCATGCTACAAATATGGTAATGCTATGGAAGAGATGTGAAACTGTATGAAAATTAAGAAAGCTAATTTCTAAAGGGTCAGGAAAGGCTACATAGGAAGTGGTTTTCATCTTAGGATGGACAGGATCCTATAGGTAGAGGATGAGGGAGGTAAGAACATTCTAGGAACCATTATCATCCAGCATACTTGAGCTTACTTGAATTAAGAGAATGTGGTCCTAATGTTGCTGGGAGGTTCTTCCGGGCGCTGTTGGGCAGCTCCTTCATCCTTCCTCCCCAGTGCACCTTCCACATTCTCCTTTCCTCAATCCCTCTAAGGATCTCTCAGCAGAGAGCCTCCTTCCCTGCTTTACAAAGAAAAGGAGGCCAAGGGGCATGAACTCCCTCAACTCGCCAGATATAAGATGTTCTGTCCTTCACTTCTTACATCCTTCTCCTCAATTCTTAATCCATGACCATTTAAGTACAATGTTTAATCACAGTCAAGCCTAATAAAATATCATTGTTTTTGAGAGAACAGCATTTTTCTAATAAACCAGAACTGGTAGATTAAATAATGTGTGGTTAATGTTCAGTTAATTGCCTGCAGAGCAGCCCAAGTGGGATTGCCTGCCTTTACCTTGAGTTCCCCAGGCTTCTTCTCCTCAGAGGACTTGCAGCGGGTGATCTCCTGCAGCTTCCGCTCCAGGGGCTCCAGGCACTTCTGCAGTTTTTCCTGAGGGGTGAGAAGTGGGAGAAGAATGGCATTTGGGGTTGGCTAGTACATCCTACGTTCAGAGGCTAACCCATTTGTTTTAAACCATTTGTTTGCTTCCTATCCATCTGTCTCTTGATCCAACTCCCTTCCTGGCCTGTTATTTGAGGTGTCAGCTTCCTACAGGTCCCTTCTCCTGCCACCAGCCTGTCTCCATCACCTCCCTTGCTCACCAAACCTTCCTTTCACTGAATCTCACTGTTCCACTGTCACCAACTCTCTGTCCTTCCCCAGCCCTATCAATTTTCTAACTCAAGGAACTGCTTGTTACTGTCAAAGTGACCTCCTGTACCCTGATATCCTTCTTTAAACTTGTTTTCCTATCCAATTCTAACCACTTGCAAATATAATAAAATCTTGATTACTTATTCTGCAAACTACCATAAAGTCTTATTTCCAAGATTTTATTAACATTAATACTTATTAATTACGCAAAGTACTTGATAAAGTGCTAAGACATTAAAATCTCTAATTCCTATTACTCAGACATTTACCCTGTGTCCCAGCAGTAAGTTAAACCAGATGCCATATTATCCTTTATTGGGGGAAGATGCAAACAGACTGGCTCAGCTTAGCCTGGTGGGGATCATTCTAAAGTGATGTTACCTGTTCCCAATACCAGTGGGTAAACAAGGGGTGTGCTGAGCAGGGGGACAGAATGAAGAAACCAGACCATTTTTCAGTTCTTAAGTTTGATCTTCTCCACATGGTTTCATTCATTTATGAAAAATATGATACATTCGAAGACCACACATACTCAAATGTGTTACAAAAGTCAGACAGAATTTTTTTGGGTACTCCTTACTGCTCTTCTTCATGCCTGAGGATAACTGATCAGACATACTGCGTGCCCCCGTGTACGTAGCTCTGAGGGGACTATAGAGTGAGGATCAGATACCGTCTTGCCCTCAGGAACTTAAAATCCTCTACCCAGGGAGTCTCCCATCCTCTGTGCTCCTCCCTCTTGCCCTGCATTGGCATCATGTGTCTGGTTCCCTACCTTGTACTCCTGTGTGGCATCGTCCAGTGGCACGACGGTGTGGGCCCGGTGGGTGTGGGAAATTGCACATATCAAACACACTGCCTCCTGGTCCTCATAGCAGAAGAGGCTGAGGGCTTCATGGTGCTGGGGGCAGAGGCTCTCATCTCGGATCTTCCGCTTGACGGCCTGGAGCTGCTTGGCAATTTCCACCATGCTGCCCAGCTGTCGATTAGGTCGGAGACTGCGGTAGCGGGACGTCTTTCGACATACAGGACAAGGGAAGTCCCTCTCTAGGTCCTCCCACCAGCGAGTGATGCAAGCTTTGCAGAAGTTGTGCCCACACTCAATGATGACAGGCTCCTTCAGATACTCCAGGCACACAGAGCAACTTGCCTCCACCTGTAAGTTCTCCAGAGCTGCAGCTGTGGAGGCTGCAGAGGCCCCGGCCTCTAACAGGCTTGTCTCTGCCATTATTTAACTTGAGGTTAGGACGGGAGAAGAGAAAAAAAAAATGTTAGTTGGAGGTTTAGTTTTTTTTGCATCCCTGGCCTGACAGTTACCCCCATGTTAAATCCTAACTCCAGATTTAGCCCCATCATAGTATTTTACATCTTCTCTTCCACTACATCAACCTCTTTTGTTTCTCCATTTCCAAAACTTGTGACTCCCAGCCATCAATTTTTTCTCTTCAGCAAAATGACACACAACCCTCAATCTCTTGTCTTTTACCACTGCTTTCTCTTGCTAGAAACAGAGGCTTCCTTCAACTCTGAGTACTTCTCCTGATCCAGGTTCATTCCACTTGTATCTCAGAACCTATAGTTTCAGACCAATGTATTCCTAGTGTGACATCTTCTTCTAATAGATGAGAAAAGAGTATGGGAAAGCGAAGAGTGCCAAAGCATTAATTAAGATTTCTTAAATTGAGTATATTTTAAAGTTTAATATTACAGAAGAGTTTTACTACAATAGCCCATTGGAGCCTAAGCTTGATTCTCTGCCACTGTTCTCTCAGTCTTTCAAAGGGTAATAAATAGAATGAGTTAGGCAAGGGTGACAACCTCTTCTTTTCAGAAAGTTTGAAATTATTCTTCCTTTTATCAGGCTAGCCTAGAGAAAGTGTGCCCTTTTCTTGGAATGAAATTATTCATACAACTCATTTCTATTTGTGTGCATCTGGACATCTGGAACTGCTGAAAAGTTATAAATTCATGGCAACTAAAGAGTCTATTACTGAGCCCAGGGCAATAATTTTTTGAAGAGAGAGCTGACAAGTCTATTTTAAGTATTCAGCAGTGACTGGAGTCTTTTGAAATAGTTATCAATAACTAACTCCTTGGATGTACTGTACCTCCAACTAATAGGTTCTGGAGTGGTTGGGAATTAAGAGAGAGAAAAGTAAAGAGGCAATCAAAAACTTCTAATGAAGCCTCAAAAGAATTGGAAATGCATCTAAGAGATTTATAAAGTAGAAGGCTGGTCCTCTATTCCATCCTTAAAACATCACCACTTTTATCCATGAAATAGTTGATTTCTCCATCCCCTTAACCCCCCTCCCTAAGGGATCCAACAGAAGGAAATTTAGTAAGTCTATGTGTTGAGAGAGAAGTGGCCATGTAATGAGTTGGGTTAACAATGATTATTCCTGTATATGTTGACGGCACACGTGAAAAGTGTTTAATTTGGAGTAGGAACTGACAGCTTATTTGGACCTGAATTTCCTCCCTCAACCAGGAGAGTTCAGTCAGATGATTTTTCTCTACCTCTGGGAATCCAACTTTGACGAGTAATCTTTCCCTTTCCCTAATCTTCTAGAAATTAGGTGGTCTCCTCACCTGGGGTGAGTTGAACTGTATGCAGAGTTAGGGGGCAGAATGGATCTAGACTAGCAAAGAAGTAGTGTGGAAGAGAAATGGGGAAAGGTTAGGGAGGTATGGGGAGAGGACTTGGAGCTACAGCACTAGTTAAGCCTTCGGTGTCTCTGGGTTGGTCATTTTTCCCCCTCTATTCCTCGTGTCTCAGTATAAGGGCAAACTTCAAAGCTGTCCTCATTTTGTTTCTACCACTGTCGGGGGTCCCACCTTGCGACCCTTTCCTGAGCGTGGTCCACAACTCGGTCCCACCCCCGTCTCCATCTTCTCCCGCCAGATCTGGCGCAGGGGGACTGGAGTGCGGGGAGAGGAAACGTCGCTGTTGGCAGGGAGGGAGGGATGCGCGTCCAGGTGAGGAGGAGGTGTGACGTGAAGGTGGGATGCCCGCCGCTATGACGCAGCCGAGAGCCGCGGTGACGGCGTAAGAGTTTCACCCGGGGAGGCGAGCGGCAGCGGGACGGGGGAACGGCGGGGTAGCCAAGCAACGCCGGACGCGCTGACGTCGCCGGGGCGGCAAAACGTCCGCCCGGGCCCGAGGCGGGCGGAGGCAGCTGTGGTTACGTGCGGGGGGCCGGTGACGCAGTCGCGGGGCGCTAGGACGCGGCGTGCGGAGCCGGTCAGCGGGGGCAGGCCCCAAGGCCCCGGCGCGGCGGCGGGACAGCACCTACCTTCCCGGCTTCGGGTCCGGGAGTGCGGGGCGCAGAGCCGCCGGAGCGCTGCCTCCCTCCTTCCTCCTCCCCCCGCCCCCGCCCCGCAGCGCGACACACAATACTCGCCGGAAGCGGAAGCCGCGCCGAGAGGCTCGTGTCAGTGGAACCCCGGGTGTCGGCGGGCGACCGCGGGAGGGCCTAGCGGCGCCTGCGGAACAAGGAGAAGGCGGGGGGCCGGAGGGGAGAACCAGCAGGAGGAATGAAGGGCGAGAAGAGACCCGGAGGGGCAGGTGGCTGAAATGCAGTCGTCCAGGTGACCCGAGGAATCCTCTGGAGAAAGAGGGCCGCGCATGCGCGTGGCGGAGCACTGAAGCCCATTGCCCACAGGGCGCCTACGGGCGGCGGGGCAGGCGGGCCCGTCCCGCCCAGGGTGTGGACCCGGGCTCTGACTCGGCTCGGGCTGGTCCCGGTTGGGGCTGGGAGCCGCCGGGGGCGGGGCAAGGGCGGGTTGCGGACATTGAGCTACACTGCTCCTCTCTCCAGGGTAGTCCCGGGAGAAGGTGGCTCGCCGAGTCGGCGGCCAATTACGTGGTGGACCTGCGGGTCTCAGCTGGCACGTCACTTCCGACAAGTTGAGTTTAAGCCTTTTAACGTTAAAGGATTAGCTCAGTTTTCCCTGCCGTGGGCTTCGGATGCTTGGTCACCTTGTCCTTGCTAGGCGAGCTTTACGGAAATGATCTACCTCCTCCGATGGAGTGGGAGCCCCGAAAGAGCTGGTACTGTGACTCTGCTGCTCACCTTTGTGTCCTCAGCTCCTCGCTTGGTGCCCAACCGCAGCGAGCGCGCAGTGAGCACCCGTTCTGGGTGCGAGCCAATCCCGTCTTTTTCCAGTTTTGTGGCTTTGGCTTGAGTTTCTCCGCAAGAGCAGATGGTGGTTTTGCGGCGACTCCGGACTCCTGCGTTATAGCCTCCTTACTTTCCTCTCCTGTTGCTGGAAGCTTCGCAGGCTTGTGACTTTGGAGGACGAGGGCGAGATGATGAGGAAGAGTCGGTGGACAGAGGTGTGATGAGACTGGGAGGAGGTGCTGAGTTGAGTTGATGGAGCTGGGGAGGAGTGGATGCTGGGTAAAGGGGTAATGGGACTGGGGAGAAGTTGGGGCTGGGGAAAGGTGTGCTGCGGCTGGGCAGGAGTTAGTGCTAAGAGTAGACACTGCTGGTTGAAAACGCAGCTTGCCCCGCCTTCTCTCTGCCAACACTTGGCATACAGAATGCTAACCTAAAGAAATGAACAAATTTTGGTGTACCCTTCGAGGTGAAATGGCCCAATGGCCCAACTTGTACCTGTGTAAGTTGTGATGCTGTTTACAAACACTGTGCAGTATTTAACCTCTCATCCTGGGAGCCAGGAACTATTTATTTGCAGAAAATATCTCATGTGGGAGGTATAAAGATTTAGGGTCAGGCATGCTAAATACAGCTGGTCTGCTTTTTCTTCACTGTTCTTTGCTTTTTGTTCACTCTTTTTCAGTAGCAGTGATTTGAAGAGGATTAAGCTTGATAAAATTACATTTATTAACTTTTTTTCCCCTCATTGTTATTTGACTATTGGGAATTTTAGCAGCAGTACTGTTTCTAGTTCATGGACTGCCTCATTCTAAGGTAGGGTAGTTTGAAAGCCACAAATTGGGCGGTCAGCCTCTTTATCCTTACATTATAGGGAGCATGGTGAGGTTTGGTTCTGGTTATGATTTGTAACTTTTAAGGTGTTGGCTAGCACTTCATTCTGGCTTTCTGTTTGTAGGTGGCCAGGGGTGTGGTAATATTAAGCAAATTTCCAGGAGGAAGTGCATTTCTGAGGAGTATGAAGAATGTGGTGGCCTGGAGACTAATAGATTATTAAGATGACTTTATGTTCAATATGGAAGGAAAGAGGGGAGAATGTCTAGGTAAAACTATAAAATTATGAAGGGCATGTACTATGTCATAGAACAGGGTTTGGCAAACCTTCCCTGTAAGGAGCCAAATAGGACATATTTTTGGCTTTGTTGCCTGTACTCAATTCTGTCTTTGTAGTATGAAAATAGCGTTAGACTATACTAAATGAGTGAGCGTTGCTGTAATTTGAATTTCATATAAATTCTTCACTTGCCTTGAAATTTTATTCTCCTTTTGATTTTACCCCCAGTCATTTAAAAATGTAAACACATATCTTAGGTTGTGGGCTGTACAAGCACAGGTAGCAGACCATAGTTCGCTGACCCCTGACATAGAACAGTAATGAAGTACCCAGTATTTTTCAAGAGAGAATGCCTGGGAAAGTGGGTGAACACAATGCTATGATCTCTTATTTCCATCTGTCTATATGATAACACACAAAATAATAATAAAGGAAATTTGAAATCTTAACACAAATTTGTTATGACCTGTGAAACTTGGTTGGCTGAGATTTATGAATATACTAAGATACAAATACATTTTTTAAACAAGGAAAGGTATTCGTTGTCTAAAATTAAACGAGATTGTAGTTCAGAAGAGGTGGAATAACACTGAATTGTGACGTTGATTTATATCAACAAGGGATTTCCAACATAGGAATATGCAAAAATGAGTAATAGTAATATGAAAGATAATTTAAAAAATTTAAATATACACTTTAATATTGTTTTTATATCAGTAAAAGATATATCTGATATATCTTTTATATCAGAAGATATCTTGGAACCACTGAGTCACATAGAGGAAAAGGATGTATTAGCAGTGCAGGTAGAAAACTGGTTGAGGTCAGATATGAGATATGGTAGGTTGGGGAGGGAGAGGGTTCAACAGTCCAGACTTCCGAAATTCTTCCTCAGAAGAAGGCAAAGCATCTAATTTTCCCCCACCATTTTTTTAAATTATAAAGAATTTAAACTGCAGAAAGACGGTCGTCAGTCTTTTTACACTTTACACTGTGATTTTTTTTTTTAATTTTATTTTTGTTTGTTTTTTTTGCCGTACGCGGGCCTCTCACCGCTGCGGCCTCTCCCGTTGTGGAGCACAGGCTCCGGACGCGCAGGCTCGGCGGCCGTGGCTCACGGGCCCAGCCGCTCCGCGGCATGTGGGATCTTCCCAGACCGGGGCACGAACCCGCGCCCCCTGCATCGGCAGGCGGACTCCCAACCACCGCGCCACCAGGGAAGCCCTACACTGTGCTTTTTATACTTTATACTGGCTGTCTATTATCTTTCCAATTCAGTAACATTGGAACTACCTTGTTCTTTTTCAAGTCTATATCACTGCCTCATTATGTAGATGTATAATTTATTCAGCCATTTTGTTTAGAGAAAACATTTAGGGTTTTTCCAAGTCTTATTAAATAAAGGCTGTAGTGAACATTCTTGTACATATATCCTTTTCCCTCAGTTTTATTGTGATATAACTGACGTATAACACTGTGTTAGTTCAGGGTGTACAACGTAATGATTTGCTATATTTGCCCATATGTCTTTTTTGTTTTTTTTAACTTCTCAATAAGGAATGTGTCTTTTATTTTTTTTGAATTTTATTTAATTAATTTTTTTAAACAGCGGGTTCTTATTAGTTATCCATTTTATACATATTAGTGTATACATGTTAATCCCAATCTCCCAGTTCATCCCAACACCACCACCCTGCCCCCCGCCACTCTCCCTCCTTGGTGTCCATACCTTTGTTCTCTACATCTGTGTCTATTTCTGCCTGCAAACTGGTTCATCTGTACCATTTTTCTAGGTTCCACATATATGCGTTAATATACGGTATTTGTTTTTCTCTTTCTGACTTACTTCACTCTGTATAACAGTCTCTACATCCATCTACTTCACTACAGATGATCCAATTTCGTTCCTTTTAATGGCTGAGTAATATTCCATTGTATATATGTACCACATCTTCTTTATCCATGTGACTGTAGATGGGCATTTAGGTTGCTTCCATGACCTAGCTATTGTAAATAGTAATGCAATGAACATTGGGGTGCATGTGTCTTTTTGAGTTATGGTTTTCTCTTGAGTATATGCCCAGTAGTGGGATTGTTGGGTCATATGGTAGTTCTATTTTTAGTTTTTTTAAGGAACCTCCATACTGTTCTCCATAGTGGCTGTATCAATTTACATTCCCACCAACAGTGCAGGGGGGTTCCCTTTTCTCCACACCCTCTACAGCATTTGTTTGTAGATTTTCTGATGATGCCAATTCTAACTGGTGTGAGATGATACCTCATTGTAGTTTTGACTTGCATTTCTCTAATAGTGATGTTGAGCAGCTTTTCATGTGCTTCTTGGCCATCCGTATGTCTTCTTTGGAGAAATGTCTATTTAGGTCTTCTGCCCATTTTTTGATTGGGTTGTTTGGTTTTTTTTTTTACATTGAGCTGCATGAGCTGTTTAAATATTTTGGAGATTAATCCTTTGTCCGTTGATTCATTTGCAGATATTTTCTCCCATTCTGAGGGTTGTCCTTTCATCTTGTTTGTAGTTTCCTTTGCTTTGCAAAAGCTTTTAAGTTTCATTAGGTCCCATATTTCTATTTTTGTTTTTATTTCCGTTACTCTAGGAGGTGGATCAAAAAAGATCTTGCTGTGATTTATGCCAAAGAGTGTTCTTCCTACGTTTTCCTCTAAGAGTTTTACAGTGTCCGGTCTTACATTTAGGTCTCTACTCCATTTTGAGTTTATTTTTGTGTATGGTGTTAGGGAGTATTCTAATTTCATTCTTTTACATGTAGCTGTCCAGTTTTCCCAGCACCACTTATTGAAGAGACTGTCTTTTCTCCATTATATATCCTTGCCTCCTTTGTCATGGGTTAGTTGACTACAGGTGCATGGATTTATCTCTGGGCTTTCTATTCTGTTCCATTGATCTATATTTCTGTTTTTGTGCCAGTACCATATTGTCTTTTTTTTCTTTTTCATTTTATTTTTATTTATTTATTATTTTTGGCTTCGTTGGGTCTTCATTGCTGCACGCAGGCTTTCTTTAGTTGTGGCGAGCGGGAGCTACTCTTCTTTGCAGTGTGTGGGATTCTCATTGCAGTGGCCTCTCTTGTTGTGGAGCACGGGCTCTAGGTGTGCGGGCTTCAGTAGTTGTGGCTCATGGGCTCTAGAACACAGGCTCAGTAGTTGTGGCGCACGGGCTGAGTTGCTCTGTGGTATGTGGGACCTTCCCGGACCAGACCTCGAACCCGTGTCCCCTGCATTGGCAGGCAGATTATTAACCACTGCGCCACCAGGGAAGCCCTATCATATTGTCTTGATTACTGTAGCTTTGTAGTATAGTCTGAAGTCAGGGAGTCTGATTCTTCCAGCTCCGTTTTTTTTCCCTCAAGACTGCTTTGGCTATTCGGGGTCTTTTGTCTCTCCATACAAATTTTAAGATTTTTTTGTTCTAGTTCTGTAAAAAATGCCACTGGTAATTTGATAGGGATTGCATTGAATCTGTAGATTGCTTTGGGTAGTATAGTCATTTTCACGATATTGATTCTTCCAATCCAAGAACGTGGTATATCTCTCCATCTGTTGGTATCATCTTTAATTTCTTTCATCAGTGTCTTATAGTTTTCTGCATACACGTCTTTTGTCTCCCTAGGTAGGTTTATTCCTAGGTATTTTATTCTTTTTGTTGCAATGGTAAATGGGAGTGTTTCCTTAATTTCTCTTTCAGATTTTTGATCATTAGTGTATAGGAATGCAAGAGATTTCTGTGCATGAATTTTGTATCCTGTAACTTTACCAAATTCATTGATTAGCTCTAGTAGTTTT